AGCCTTAACGCAAAGGAGAGGAAATGGCGGCCATCCAGCACCCGGTGGGCCGGTAGGTGGGACGTGTCTCTGCTGGCAGCTGGCGCAGGTCAGCAACACACCCCTGTCCCCTGCTGCAAGGAATCAGCTCCCAAGGGAAGCTGCGACCACAGGACCACAAAGACGCAGATTGCCCCTCAAGGAATTGCACCCTCTCCATTCTCTTTCCCCAAGTATGACCAGGGGGCTTCCCCTAAAACTTCTACCAAGGAAAGTGAGCCAGAAAACGGGCCTGTGGACTCTGGCTGCCCATTACCCCGGCAACCATCGTTGGAGAGCTTTCCAGCATTAGTTTGAAAAGCGAAGGCTTGTTCTGCATGGAGATCGATTGGCTGGGAGCTGACCTCTTCCCACTCCTGTCACCTATTCATAAGGGGACTTCTCATTTCTGATGGCTCTTACATCCCTGGCTGTAAGAAATGGTGCTAAAAACAATTTACTGGGTGGCTCTTTGGGAGTCAGTGACCCAGAGGAAGACCAGCAAATGGCTTTTTATTCACCACTGGATGCCTTGTCAATGCAGTCAACTGAACCAAGAGTTGTTTATCATTATCATGGTTTATATTATTAATACTACTATTTTTCAAACATGTGTCCAGCACAATCCTTGCCCTGAGTGAATAAGTCACAGTGCCTGTCATCTGCCACATTGGCAGATATGTTCATATAACTGAAGGGTTCAGGGGCATGGGCAACTGCTATGTACCAAGGAAATGAAGGTAAAATATGGTAGCTCTCACACTGAGAACCTACAAAGTATTAGCAGCAGGCCTGAGGTGCTAGGGAATTAATGACCCCTCCCTGGAACTGCCCTCAATCAGCCACGGACCGGAGCTGATGTACACATGCCTTAGCTCCCTTGGCCCCGAAGGTGACATAACTCTGACGAATATGTTCCACACCGGCCCCGTGTGTTCCCCAGTGGGATTAAGTACCGCCCACCCGTGTCACTGGATATTTGTCATTGTGATGTTGCTATTGCCTTTCTTAAGCCAGCCTGCTTCACTCCACCTGGTGGCGTTGGGATTTGTGACCCTGGAATGACAGTCTCCAAGGTCCTCTGCAGATTTAAGATTCCTTGAGTCCACCCACCTTATAGAAACACCAGTGAAATAATGAGGTGCTCCTCCAAACCCAGGCAGGATGCAGTCTGTCATGGACTAAATGTTCATGACCTCCCGAAATTCATATGTCGAAGCCCCAACCCCCAAAGGAGGTGTGACCTTTGGCTGGTAACTAGGGTTGGCTAAGATCCAGGAGGGTGGGGTCCTCGTGATGGAACCAGAGCTCTTGTAAGAAGAAAAGCAAGGAGCTTGCTTTCTCTCTCCACCATGTGAGGACCCAGCGAGAAGACAGGCATCTGTAAGCCAGGAAGAGATCTCACCAGGACCTGACTGTGCACCCCTCCTCCCATCTTGGTCAGGGCTTTTCGTGGCACCGCAGGAACAGGGGGGCATATTTGGAAGTGAAAGGAGAGCTAAAACCCCTTTCGCAGCAGCCAGTCAGCCAGTCAACGTGCATGGGAGTTGGTGGGTAGATGCCCCAGGCTCTCTACCAGCCTCATGTGGGCTTGTTATGGGGCAAGTTCCAAGAGGTACCTCACAGAGTCCTCATGGGATTGAGGCCACAGCAGTGACTGCCCCTAACATGCACTTGGTTGTCTCCTCTCTCCCCTGCACCCTTGCCCCTGCTCCATGACATCACTCCCAAAGGCAATTCCTGCAGCCACATGCCCTCTCAGCCCTGCTTTTGTGAGCACGCAAACTAAGACAAGAGACGCTAAAGGAACTCATCCTTGCGAAAAGGAAATGCTGTTCACGACAACCACAGTGACTGCTTTCTTTCCAGTCGATCGTTCCCTATATTGGCAGATGGCACTGGCTACGTGGGCCTTCGAAAACTTCTAAGACAAATAATGGTGTTTCTAATACGTGTCCAAGAGGAAAAAAACTCCAGACCCGAAATAGAAGTTCTCAAACGAACATGTCTCTAATGACAGCAAACAGTCTCCTGACCTCCTTTAAATGGGGATCACTTGTAACAAGTTTAAATCCTATGAATAATAAATTAGGAGGCTCTAGCATGTCCCTGGAAATTCCACTCAGTTTTCAACAAATGGGGAATTCTTTTCACCCACAATCAGATGGAAATTTCTAGATTCCAAAGCCAGTCAGCAGTCACAAGTTTCCTCTCACTGCTACTCTCTCTCAAATGCCGCACGTGGATATGGTTCCCATGCTGTCAGCCCCCTGGGTGAAGGCAGGGACCCTCCACATCAGGGCCCCAGCCGCACGGCTCACTAATCCTTTTTCTGAGACAAGAGGATGGCATAGGGTAAAACTGAATTACCATCTCACACTTGGTGACATACAAGACCTCCAAGCCAGGTAAAAGCCCATGGTAACTCCCCTTGTCTTCATTTGCACTGAAAAGCAAACTCATTTTTCTTAGTAGTGAGGTCTACATAGCAAACAGCCTAACGGGGGGCCTCTGGCAGGGGCTGGCAAGTGTTCATGCCAACCCCATGCCCAGGCTCCCAGACCCTTTCCCTGCTCCACCTTCTCCCCACCAAAAAAAAACCCCTCCCCCCCCCCAACCTTCTCCCCCCCCCCCCCCCCCCCCAGGAGAGCATCCCCACAGTCCCTCCATCCCGGACCCGAGGCTGAGTACAGATTCCGATTTTGAAAGAAATTCTCCAAATCTTTCTCCAGGAGGCAAAGGAGAGGCAGGAAGGAGCTGAGGGCCCCGGATGGATGGGTCGGATGGATGGGAGGATGAGTAGCGACCCCCAGGTCCCAGGCTGGGGCGGATGGGGGCTTGTGTGCCCTTGGTGAAATGGGGTTGGCAGAGCCCTTGCAGGGTCGCTGAACTCTGGCACCAGGTAGCAGATGTCAAAGGGGAGATGGGTGTGGACCCCCGCAGCTCGCTGGCTCGGGTCGCCCGCTTCGGAGCCAGGGGCGGGATGCGCAGGGAACGGCACACCAGTGCCTGGGGGTCTCCCCTTCCCTCTCGGGGCCGGGCCAGTGAGGACGGGTGAGGTCTCATCTCAAAGCCGAGCAACCTGAATCTGGCGAGCCTGGGCCGGGTGCGAGTGCTCAGGTCCTGGGGAAGGAGGGCAGGGCGGATGCGGAGACCGGGAGAGGGGGCTCTCCGGGACGCTCGCTGGCGCCGCTTGGCGAAGAACCCAGCCCTTTCCCCAACCTCAGCAAAACCGAAGGCGCGCTCTCCTACAGCTGCGGGAACAGAGGCCCCGGTGGCGGAGCGGGGTCGACCAGATGGCCCGGCCCACTGACCCAGCGTGCACACTCTCGGGGTCCCGGAGACCTGCGAGAGCCTTTCCTGGGGCTGAGAAGAAAGTGAAGACCGTCCTCCCTGCCCCCAGAAGGCAGCTCCTTGGTCCAGAGACCAGCCGCAGCCTGGGGTGCTCAGAGGGGCCGACACCCCTTCGCGCTCAGCATTGCACTTTGCTGACACCCAGCCCTGGCCAGTGTCCCCCCACTTTTCTGTCCGGCCCCTCGCGTCTAAACGCGGGCAGCTTCTCATCCGGGAGGAGATCCGAGTCTTCGGCTCCCCACCCTGGAGCGCCCGGTGCTGGACGGGGCAGGGGAGAGGGAGCAGGACCCAGCCGGGGGAGGCAGCGCGGGGGCTGGGCACCGGACACCGCG